GGTGGATGGGGGATGGTGGATGGATGGGTGGGTGGACGGACGGGTGAGCAGACGGATGGGTGGATGGGGGATGGTGGATGGATGGGTTGGTAGACGGACGGGTGAGTGGATGGGTGGGTGGGGGACAAACGGGGAATAGATGCAGGGATGTGTGGGCGGGTAGATGGATGGGGGGATGGATGGATCCCTGACCCCACTGCCAGGACATCTTCCTCTTCCTCACCCCTGTGCCCACTGTCATCACGCCATCTAAGTCACCAGCCAGTGTCCCTGGGTAGCTAGCGCAGCCACCTCCAGCTCCTTGCCTCCCCCTCACCACCCCAGCCCATCGCTAAATCAGCAGCCAGACCTGACAGCTCACTCAGTACCTACCTATGCAAAAAACTTCTTGATCCTCCAAGGATCTTGACTAGCTGTCACACTCACCTGTGAGGTATGATCGGCTCTGCAGCCTGGACACAGGGTCAGAACTCAGCTGGGGGGGGGTTCACACTGGCAAGTCTGAGTTCCTATGGAGGAAGGCCTGAGATAGGTCTGTCCCAGTAGGGCAGGTGCTGCCCTGAGGAGTAAGACTCCCATTCCCAGAGGTGTCAAAACCTGTGCTAAGTTCTGTCAGAGGCTACAAGAGCATTTGTACCCTGGGGAGAGGTCAGCCTCAGTGCCCACAAACATCCATCCTGGGTGACCTTGGAAGAAACATTAATCCTCTATTTACCCATCCACTCATTAGCTCCATCCATCCATCCATCCATCCACCCTTTCATCCCTCCCTCCCTCCCTCCCTCCCTCCCTCCATCCATCCACCCATCCATCCATCCATCCATCCCTCCCTCCCTCCATCCCTCCCTCCATCCATCCATCCTCCAGCAAATGCTGCCCACAGTCAGCATGGCCAGACCCAGGCTATAGGAGGATTCTTAGAGGGATGGAAGCGTGTTCTTCCACTTGAGGAGCTGACAGTCCAGCAGTCCCTCAGGCCAGCCCAGACAGGGGCTTTTTGACTGCATGCTGAAGGCAGTGGAGAGCCAGGGAGTATTTCTGGGAAGAGCAGTGCCATGGGCCAGTTGGCATTTTAGCTGGTCTCTCTGAGTGCAGGGTGGAGAGTGTAGCCAAGGAGGAAGGGCCAGGCCCCTGGGAGAGTGAGCTCACATGGCAGGCAGCTGGAGCTTGGTGTGAACCGGCTCAGTGCTCCAGGTCTACCATGGATGAACTCTGGGGTTTGGGGAATTGAGCTGCCCTCAAAAAACCTGGTCTCCTGGTTCCAAATGTGGGGAAAGGTGTGTATTCATGGAGAGGCGGGAGGAGGGAGAGCAGTCGCCTAACCAGGGCATAAATTCTCCCTGCCTGAGTTGTGTCTGACACAGTGCTGCTTTTCCACCTGCCAATGGGGTGCTGGGCTCAGGGACCAGTCAAGCTAGTGCCTACTCTTCCCACACAGCAGAAAGGCTCCTGTGCCCCTGCTACTCCCACGCAGAGCACCCTCTGAGGGCTTCCTTCTCTTTTAAAGCCCATGCAAGCAGCAGCTGAGGGCTGCGTCCCTGGCCTCAGCAACCACCACCTCTGCCCCAAGAACACCTGCACTGTGATGGGCACAGAGCTGAGCTGAAGGCGTGATGGAGACCCATCCTTTGTCAAATACTTGCTAGTTTTCACAACCACCCTCTGGCAGATGTTCTTCTGACCAGTTTATAGATGAAAGAAAGTGGGGTGAGAATGTCCCGTGAGTAGACATGGGCCACACGGGAGGCCAGGAGGAGCTCAGGCTCCAGAACCAGACAGTCTCTGACTCCTCTGGAAACATCTGGGTGCGTCTGTGGACCAAGCCCTGGGGAGGGGCCGCTCTTGGCTGCCACCCTGCACCTCCCCATGTCAGCCCTTTGTTTGATGGCAGTAACTATGCCCTCACTTGCTTTCTTGCAACCACCCCGCAGCCTCATACAACTCACCCCAGCCCACAAGGCCAGGTCACTTCAGATTTCACAACTACAAACAGAAAACCAAACACGAAGAGAATAGGGGCCACCCCAAGGCCACAGTTGGAGAGAGCAGCAGGCCAACACCCGAACCCAGGACTCCTGCTGCCAGCCCAGAGCTCCTTCCGGCATCCAATTCCGCCTCAGAAGGGCCCGCTCACTACACATTTTTCTGCCCCAAATTTTATAGCCACCCATCCCTCCGTCCCTGAATTCTCCCATCCATTCATTTTTTCACCCATCAACTCTCTTAAATGTCATTCATTCAATAATCCATCCATCTTTCCTCCATTCATCCATCTATCCTCCATCCATCCATCCTTCTGAAATCCACCCATCCACACATATGTTCCACATCCACCCATGCATCCACCCACCCCTCCCTCATCTATCCTCCTCCCATCCATCCCCTATCCATTCACCACCCATTCACCATCCATCCTCCACTCATTTTTGACTCATCTACCCATACATCCTCCACCCATCCCCTGTCCATCCCCCACCAGCCACCCATCCATCCCCTATCCATCCCCCATCCATCCTCCATCCATCTCCCACCATCCACCCATCCATCCCCCATCCATCCCCCATCATCCATCCATCCATCCATCCCCTATCCATCCCCATCCATCCCCCATCCATCTCCCA